AAGCGGACCAATCAGAGCCAGGGACAACATAAATCCACCAAGTGCATCCTCAGAAGTTAGAAAAAAAAGGTCTAAACGCTGCAACCTCTGAGCTGATTCAATTTGACAGGATATCAGAAAGTTAAATGAAACAGCCCATACGTACCTGGTAGGGGTCTTGGGTCTGAACACATGGTCCAGATTCTATCGTACACCAGTCGGCCTACAAACCAGCGAGACTACAGTCAGAAAACATGCTTTATTCCCCCCTTAACTTAGAGAAACAAAGTTCTTCTTACGCACCGAAAGTGTCGAGGATATCAGTGATGAGAACAAACTTGCTGGGGTAGAACTGGATCACAGAGGTGTCGGACAGAAGCTTAGAGCACTGGAACACAGATCACAGATCAGTGCTGATGATTTGACACAGAAAAAAGAAAGCAAGGCGACTTTTTCCCTCCATTATTCTGGGGATGAGTGTTTCTAACTGCTGGATTACCTGGATGACGATCTTCAGGGCTTTGACCTTCTGGTCCGAGGCCCAGGCCTCCTTCAGGGACTGGTTCAGCTCCTCGATGCGGTTGGCGTAATCCTGCTGGGAGAGGTTGAGCAGCTCCCTCTGGGAACCCTGCACACACATACACACAAGAAGGTCCGACATACATCCCTGACCTCATATGGATTCATTGTGCTGAACTAAAATGATGTTTTACCAGGACCAATGGACCCAGTCAGCTATACAGGAGCACACATACAGCACAGACACACACAAGCCTGTCCTCATGTGAACTTATAGTCAGAGACGTACCTCCTCCAGATCATCCAGTTCCTCCAGGCGAGTCCGAACTTTCTCTGAAACAGCTGAGGATCCTGGACTTGGAGCTTTTCCTACGGCGACAGCAGGAGTGATCTGTTAGCCTCTGACCGCAGTGAAAACACACACAGCCTCTCTATGTTTTTTTAGACTTTAGAGACTTTTTTTTGCCAATTTGGGCAGCACAACACGCTGTGAACAGAACAACAATATAGTATTGCCTTATAAAGTTGGTATGGCATCATCAACATGTTAGCAAACTGTTGCCTATTTACACCCAACAAATTAAAAGTCCTTTTAGGTCTGTTTTGATCTCCATCAACTCCTGAGAAATTGATCTTAATATAAATATACTGATTATAGCAACTTGGTTATACACATATAGCCTCAATTCCTATAACTCTTTTGTGTACGTGTTTTCACAGCAGGCATTTTTATATGAAACAGGAAAAAGGTCTATTATGATGAATACAAACACCGGCCTTACCTTTATCAGAACCCATGAAAAGATTCTATGAAGACAAAAGAAATTGGAATTAATTTCTGTCTTACAAAGCAAGGCTGTGAGTCCACAGTTTAAACTAACTTCTTTGCTTTAGGACGACTCACAATTGAGAGTTTTTCTGTGGTGGTGAACCTGGCCAGGATCTCTCCTCGTTTTGATGACCAAGGCTCAAAGTCTGGACCCACCACCTCTTCCTCCTTCTCCCTCTTCTTCCTCCCCAGGTCCTGGAAGCACAACATTAAAAAAACATGTTTGGATGTCATCTTCTCTCCACTTGGTGCGTGTTTGTGTGTGTTTAAAAATAATAAATAAAATCAGGGTGGAAAAGTATCTGGAGCAGCATTGGACTGAATATCAACAGCTCTGTCTGCTCTGAACTGACCCCTGTGGAGGCGCTGTGCGTCATGGCAGGAGCCTCGCTGACAGAGGCCGCTGCAAACATGGAGAGGGGGTCGGTCCCATCCAGCATGGAGCTGAGGGGGTCCGCGGGGGCCGAGGAGGACGAGGAGGAGGACGAGGAGGTGCTACCTTTACGAGCCCCACGGCGGCTCTTTGTATCCGTCACCTGGGAGGAGGGGAGAGGGGAGAGGGGGAGGTCAGATTATGGTTCTCAAAACTGAGCTGATGGAGGGACGGGTTCAGAGATCAATCATTTCTGAATGCGTGTGTGCAGAGCGGATGGTGTTTGTGATGAACAGTAGGAAGACAGTGACAACAGCTGAGGGTCTACCATGATGGGTTTGAGGGGATGGTAGTCTCCAAACTCAACCGGCGCAGCCTCAGGTCGACATCTCTGCAGCTCGGCCTCATAGTTGCGCCCTCGGGAACGCCTGGTTACACAACAGACAGACAGCAGACATCCCTCCAGTCACCCTGTGGCCTTACTGACATACTGTCTATTTACAGTTACTACAACTGATGCCAACACTCTCATTGTGTTTTTAAGGCTTATTATCTGCAGTGGAAAGTGCTGATTTAGTCTCTTTAGGATCTGAGATCTTGCTTCAGACACAAGGATGAAGGTCTGTGATGGCAAAACACAGCCAGCTGCCATCATGGCATCAGGACTACCAAAGTACTCAGTATCTTTATGTGCTCTGGCTTTGACTGTCAGACAGCATCTGGAAACTGGAACAACTCAGAAAGAAAGAGGCCTGGCACACCGATCAAATGTTAAAGCTGCTACTTGTAAGACAGACCTCACAAATGAGTGCATTTACATCTGAATCCAGCTGAATGTGAGAGTGCTACAAACCGCTGGAGTCACTTTTAAGGCGCACAACCTAAGCACAGTCAAAGAGGGCATTTGATTTAAAGCCACAGCTGTAATGACACTTGTTATGGTAATGTTATGCTGAAAACCTGCACAAGAAAGTTGACATTTCATTTCGGACGCTAAATTACAACTAAACTCGCGATAAACGCATTCGCTGTGCGTGTACGTTGTTAAAATACAGACAATATGTATATATACATGATTTAACCGATTTCTGTTGATGATACGGAGTGTTTTTAATTGAGAAAAGAGCATCTTACCACTGCACCGCAGCCATTTTTCTACCATCATATGACACCTCGGTACTTCCTGGTTATCCTAAGTTTTGATAAAACTCTGTTTTTAGTTTCAAATTGGCGCTCAGGTAAATATTTATTGTTGTCATATTAAGGACTGCTACTATGAACACGTAACGTGGAGTTATTTGGTCGTTTGTAACAACGACAGCGTGAATTAGGGGACGTTTTCATGAACTGTTACAGCAAAATACAACTGCATTTCCCAGGGCGCATTGCGGGCAAGCGAGTTGCGGCCGAAGAGAAAAAGAAGATGAGGAGGTCTCACTTTGGAATTATTTTTCGGGCACTGAACCCTTTTAGAGTAGCTTTCCGTTGTCCAGCGTAACGGGATATTTGGAGTAAATTAACTAAACTGTTTACTATTGATGGACAGTAGTTGACCCCAATG